AAAGATAAATCACTTGTTATACATGATATTTATCTTCAACATTTAATATATTATATCATCATGTACTTGCATGATTTACGTGTACAATGTTTTTTGTTTCAGTTGTGAAGGTTATAAAATGATGTATAATATGCATGCTCTATTTTTTCTCTTTTTTTTTTGTTGATTCATCGATTTTGTAGATTATTCTTAAAGATCTGGCATACAAAGTCTCAAAAAAAATAAAGATTTGGCATACAAAAACAAACAGTTAGAATTGAAGGATAGAMACTTGATTTTTTCGTGTTGAATAGCTAATGTAARCGTGCTRTGTTATTTAACAACATAGTGAAACACTTCCTTGCTAAGTTATCTTAAAAATGAGTGTAGTTTTTTGTTTCTAATAAATAAAAAAAACAAGAATAGATGTTATAGTATCGTCTGAAATGTGGCTAATTTATTTCAGCATAACTATATTGTTTTTGGGATTGATGTGATACTTGCATGAATTACGTGTACAATAGAGTAAAATGTACAATTTTTTTTGAAAAAGATATGATCACCCTAAAATATAGGCTATATATATTAATTTCTCACACAAAATTAATTCAATTTTAAATATGTAATTTATTATTTGTTGTGCAGATTTTTTTAGGATATTTTTGTAATTTCATATTTAATAAAGTGTATTTTTCAAAAAAAAAATAAAAGAAATGTATTTTTCAAATTTAAAAAGCCAAAAAAGGTATTTTTTTCAAATTTCCTCTACATATTGCTTAAAAATTGCTCAAGAAGCGAAATTGTGAGTGTAAATGCAATGTATCAATATGAATCTTATCCAAATCAGGAACTCGTTATTAATATTCCCTCCAGATGTTTGCTAGTGGAATATTTTAGATTAAATCACCAGTTTGCTAAAAACATTTTGTTATTGTACCATCCAAACATGTAGCCATGAGCTCTGTTTGGATTGTTTTACTCTTGGATTTCAAAGCAGTTTGTTAAAGAAAAAAGGTAACTGAATTGAGACATACAATGAAACAACGGAAAAGTTTGTTATTGTTTGTTTACCTCGATTTCGTCCTCATCAATCTTAACTCGATCCCCAATTTCGAATGGATGCTTGATGAACATGAATACAAGCTTGTCCGTGATCAGTCTCCACATGTTTCCAGAGAGGAACAAGGCTTGAGGAACAATGTTCCGAGTATTCCAACCATTGGTATGAACAGAATAGCCATAATGATGATCAACTTCATTGCTTTGTTGGCTTTGCTGGCTATCAAGTTCATCGTCACCACCGACATCATCACGAGGGTCCTCTCTTGCTTGAGAGCATGGACCTAGAAAAAGTACACACATGATAATTTTCATGAAGCTAAACATATCTCACACACTAACAAGCAAATTAATATTAAATTATACCATCCACTTCTCTAATAGTGAATCACTGATTTGAGCAATCTCATGCTCTGATGATGATCCATGGAATAGGAACAAAAACTTGTAGAGCATCGTCTCTTGGAAGGAACTCAATGATGTCCTCCAAGTCAACAAACCTGACTTGGAGGACATCATTGAGTTTTGATGTTCCTGCGTAAACCGACCTTTTCTTTGATGATCATCTTCTTCAAATCCAAGGCAAATTGGGATAAAAAGTGCCTCATTTTTATCTGAGGGACACCGGAGAGTGCTTCGACCACATAACACGAAAGGAGTCCTTGGCCCATTCATGGTATGTCGGTACATGGAACCACTCGGCACAAGACCACAAGAAAACACACCGCAAGAAGGAGAGCATCATGATGGTCGTGAAAACCTTAAGACTCCAGCTTGCTCTGCTTCTTTGTCGCTTGCTCTGAAAACAAGTCAGGAGGACACGAAGATAAGTAGCCATGTTGCCAAGAATTGTGCATCCTCACAAACACCTTGCAGAGCATATACCAACCTGATCCATGATTTCAGCACTCTCGTGAGAAAGAGCATAAGAGTTCTGATGACGAAGCTGCTGATGTGTGTGGAAATGATTAGCACCAGAAATAACACCTCCCATTTCCAGAGGTTGAATGTCAAGAAGAAGGATAAGTACATTGATATCCAAACTAGAATCAACATGTTGATGCGGTCACAAAATCAATGAAGCATTGAAATGATTTCGATTGATGGAATTTTCCACTAATGTGACAAGTTCTCACAGAAGAAATCCATAAAAGTCTCCTATGTAACATGCTGATTTGTTCACAAAGTCACACGCAGTAAGTTTGTTTTCAAAGTTTATGCACCAAAAAATTTAGTACTTTTTATTGAAGTTTATAATAGGTTAACATTAATTAACAAAAGGTACTTTAAAAAAAATTTAAACATCAATATTTGTAGAGTAAAGAAAAAACTCAAAACATCATTCTTTTAACTCATATGCATACATCCATTGGAAATGCTCAAAGATTAGAAATTAAATAATTTTTAAAAAAAACATGAGCATTTATTTAGACCTAATTGTGCAACATAACATATTTGCTACTTCTTTCGGAATATAAACAAATATATGTCGAAAGACTAGCTTAATTGATTGGTTAGTTGTATTTAGGAAAAAAAAAATGAAAACATTAAATTATAGGTTTCTCTTTTTCGGGTCTATATGTTCCCTTTGAGTAAGATATTCAGCTAGTTTGATCAAATCCCAAACCTGAAACAAATACATCGATGATAGAAATCTTACACTATAAAGTGAAACTATAAATAAAAATTGGAGCTATATAGAGGAAATGTTAGGGCATCTCCACCACATCTCTATTTTTTCCCATAAACTCTATCTTAAAGTAAAATTTACTCCAACCCACTTCTATTTCTATTTCTAAAATAGAGAAAATTGTAGTATTCCTTTATATAGAGTCAAAAGTAGGGAATTGCTATTTTTTCCTCTATATTATAGCAATTCCTCTAAGATAGAGATACATTGGAGGAGAAATAGAGAAATGCTATAATTTTATCTATTTTAGAGATAAAAATAAAGATATATATTGGAGATGGTCTTACATTAACAAAGATAAAAGGCATTGTATCTCCATTTTTCCAAGACGATACAAGAGCTTGCATTAAGATTTACACAAAAACCACCATGTCGCAACTCAGAAGACTAGGAAAATCAATAGGTAAAAATACTGATTCTTAACAATGATTTATATGGCAATAGGTAGTTTTGTAGTTAGCACATTCCCCGTGGTAGTGAGAGTCTAAACCGATGGCTACATATGCCCGCGAAGCATATGCATGTAAGAAGAATAAACAAGCAAAAAAGTGTGAAATGTAGATGATTTATTGATTAAGGAGAAATCAAAAATTATAAATTAAGATGTTTATGTACTTCCAGCCATGGTCTTAACCATTCTTTGTTTGCGTTTGTGTCATGCATAACCACAATCGCTGGAAACAACCGCTATTGCAAGTGAATGTGACTGTGGTGGATTGTTTCTCAATGTTTTTTTTTTTTTGGAAACATTTGTTCCTCAGTGTTGGAAACAAAATAAAAGCTTATGTGATCTCAACCTCCATAGCTACAAGTTTTACCACAATGCATACAAGAATTAAAACAAGCTATATCGAGAGTAGAAATAAACTATAATTCACATACATCCATTGGAAATGCTCAAAGATTAGAAATTAAGTAATTTTATAAAAAAAATGAGCATTTTTTAAGATTTTAATGTGCAACATAACATATTTGCCTTTCGGCAATTCGGCATATATATATATTAGATTTTGACACACGCCAAGCGTGGGATTAAATATTTTAATATATTTTCTAATCAATCTTAATATTTAGACGTGTATTCTAATATTTCTAAACGTACAAAATGATATGAATTGTGAATAAATATAATAAAATTAAATTTTTACTAAACATATTTCAATGTCATATGTTTTGATCAATCGTGCATAAAAATATTAAAACTAATACAAATATTATTTATTTCAATTTATTTGAAGTGTCAAATTGAGTTTTATTATTTGTGTAAATAGTAGAGTATGCGATAAATTAAATAAATTTTAGATTCATATAAATTTGTTGGATGTAACAAACAAAAAATATATATTTTCTAATAATAATATGTAAAAATATTTGTAAGTGTAGTTGTCATCTAAAAATAAATAATATTGTTACAAATATAAGAATAAAAAGCTTTGTTAATATATCAATTTTTTTTTTTTAAATAGATGATATAGTAAGTCTAAATATTACAAACTTAATTTTTTAAAATATATATTAATGGGTTTATGTTATAAAATTAAGAAAAACATATAGAGATTTCCACCATAACATATTAGCATATAGTTTTAATTAAAATATTTTCATTAGTTAATTTAAATGACATATTCCTTAAAACCCTCATTGAATAATACATATGATTTTTTCACCAAATGTCTATTCAATTAATATATAGAGGATTAGTGGCATTTAAAAAAAATTTTCAAAATGATTACATTTTTGAAAAGTGGCATTTCTAAAAAATTATCTGCGTTTAGTCTAAGTATCATGCAAATTAAATTTTGTTAGATAAAATATATTTATCTATACTGGAGATGTATCTTTGTTATTTTTAATTTCTTCCGTATATAAATTAATCATGAATTTTTTTTTGAATATTCTAATTCCGTATTTAACGCATGTCAAAAAAATCTAATAGTCATTGAAAAAAAAAGATATTCTCATATATACTTTATATTTATTAAATAAAATCTTTTATATTAACTACCACATATTCCTTACTTCTATATTTGTTTAATAGTTATATATTGTATATGTGATATAAATTTAGTCTAATTATTTACACAATAATGTTATTAAGAAAGTTTAGTAACTTTCCTTAAAAGTTCATTAAAACCCTCTTTGGATGACACCTAGGATTTCACTTAGTGTCTCCTCTATTAATATATATATGCATGTCAATTAGGGTCAAAACCCGAAGCCCAGCCCGACCAAGCCTTAAAAATACCGGGCTCGGGCCTGAATATATAAGCCAAAAAAAAATCGGGCCTTTCAGGCTATTGAGTTTTTGGGCTTTAGCCCTGTTGGGCTCCGGCCGCCCGGAAAGCCCGAAAATAAACATATAATTTATAAATTTAGTAATAAATTTTGTTTAAAAATACTTTATAAAGATAAATTGGTTAAAATAATTTATATATATATGTACTTCGTTGACCAAAAACTCTTATTCTACTACTTGGACTGTTGGTATTTTGCTTATGTTTTATTTGACAGTACTATTTCTTTATAGTTATTTGAATTCATTTGACGTTTGCATTCATTTGGTCACACTTTTTCTTTTAGTTAAATTAGATTTCGATAAAAACATATTGGTAGT